CTTCCTCTCTCTCTCTCTCTCTCTCTCCCGTATATGCATACCTTTGTGAATCTCCCGACGTGGAACGCCGCGGCGTCTCGGTTACTGCACGCTCGTTATTAAGTAGCGTACGGAGGCAAAGCGCGTGCTAGTTTGTATGGAAGTTACCGACGAGGGAACACGACCGTGCCCCGAACTCATCAATTTGGGTGAAACTTTGCCGGTGTATAGGGTGACTCAAGGAGTAACGGTAATGCTCCGTTCGCGCCCAATTGCCCTTTAAAGGTACGACATTTAATGTCTCAAAGCTGTAAGACCGCTCCAATTCTGTATACATAAATGTTGAATCGTGATGTAAGAGGATGTTTTGAATAAATGTGACAGATTGAACATTACAAAGTATACAAACAACATTTCGGCAAGATCTCGGAAAATTATTGTATTTCTTTACGAAGGTAAATTGATTTTATTTATGCTATTTTGTGATGTTTCTATTATGAGTTAAGGGGCAATTTTATATATTAACAATTAGAAGAAATTTATTGATTGCTCTATGAGAAAATAACAAAAACTTAATTTCCAATAGATTCTAATCAAACTGTAGTTACACAGTAGATATTTTGCGATAGATAGTTTTACGATTTGATTTTTTAGACATTTAAAGTTAAAAAAATTGAAAAGCTGCGGTAAAAGTGATTTTATCAAATTTCCGCTAAGTGAAAATTGAAGTCAAAACTCGAAAACACTTTTTATTAGAAAATATCGTTATATACGGTGAATGCACTTGAAGTTGATGCGTTGCTGTCGCTATATAGAGTGCCTACAAGGGTTGGCATGAAGCTAAGGCAAACACTAAATAATTCATTAACCTTTCGATAGCCCTAGCGGCAAACACACGTGCGGATTGCACGCATGGCTGTCTTCAAAAAGTTCGGAATCAAAAGCAGCGTGCTGGAAAGCGCGATATCAATATCAAACACACGCATTCGCGGCCTCAATAAATCGCTGCCTGTACGGCATAAGCTGTCATGTCGATAAAATTCGGTCTTTTATTTGGTAGAATGGTTTTAACGCTTCTGCATACGACTCTTTTTCCCGTTCCACATTCCGACTGTAAAATCGGACGCTCTTGTAGTTTTGTAGCGTCACGCGCGCGCGCGCCGCGCGCGCGAATTAAGCCGCTCGCAGTATTTTATTCTCGCCTACATTTCGCGCGTGTTCCTTAGCATCACGCTAAGTATTACAGTTAGTTTGGAATTCATTTTCATTAAGCGAAATATTAACTTTGCTAAGAAATCTTCAGCTGCAGGAAGGCGCGACAGTTTTAGGAGACCTTATATATAAATACAACAGGAAAAGCGAAACGGGAAATCGAGTGTAAGAAATATCGGAAATTACGGGAGAAAAAAGAGCGGAGGCTATTTATGTTGGAATTTAGAGCTGTTATATATATATATATATATATATATATATATACGGAATTTTGTGTAGCGAGAAATCGAAAGAATTATTACATGGCGAGTTTGTAAAAATACAAAGGCCTAAGTCTCTAAAATCGAAATCCTTGTTTCGTTCGGCGACGACGTTACGTGTCCGACGCAACGACGCCAGCGTGCAGACATCGTAATCTGCTCCCTACGCGCGCGTAGCGGTCACCCCGTCCCTATCGCCGTTCTCCTTAGCACGTTGCGTTGTTGGCCTCAACTGAACGCGCGCGCGCACGTAAAACGCACGCACACGGAGCCGCTTGTGCATACACACGATCGTTATTACAGCCGCCGGCCGTGTATGAACGGACGGTGTTCGCCGTTGGCATCGCGCGCGCGAGACAGTAGTAGTGGCGCGTAGTGTGCCGGCGTGGCGCGTCGACACGGTGGGATCGTCGTCATCGTCGTCATCGTCGTCGTCGTCGTCGCCGTCGTCGTCGTCGTCGTAGTGGTGGCACGACGTGGTGGGATGCGGCAGCAGATTCGTACGTGACCCGGTGCGGCAGGCAGGACTCTCTCAGCCGGCGCTACTCGACTTCGCGAACGTACAGATCAGTTGAGTCGCGAGCCTCGGAACGAGCTGTCGCGCGCGCGTGCCTCTCTCTCTCTTTCTCTCTTTCTCTTTCTCTGTATTGCGTTTTTTCCCCCTCTTTCCGTTTCTCCTCCGAGTGTCATCTCCGTCTCGCTTCCTCCGTCCTCCCTCTCGCGGCTTTCTACGCCGTCACTTGTTCCTCTCCTCGTCGCTCCTGTCTACCTCGCGGTCCACCCCGTGATTCCCGCCTCTTCACTCGCTCCTCGTTTGTCCGCCAGCTGTGGAGTCCGCACGTCTCCGTTCTATCCACGAACGTTCGGTGTGTGTATCCCTACTGCGTCTCACCTGCCGTTATCTCCGTCTCGGTCACGTACACCGGCGACTTCATGCGCGTCTTCTCGCTCGCGCCCGCGACGCCGAGGAGCACCGAGCGCGTCCGAGTCCGGTCGGGACACTCGCGGCACTCGCGCGCACAGGATCCGCGAATAATATCACCTGCCGGACGCAACACTAAACCGTCGATCGTCAGCGTGAGAGCTATCGCCACGGTGACGTGCCACCCTACGCAGCGATAACGCAGCCTCGATATCGTTATCGAGTCCGGAGATTAACCAGGGGGAGATTCTGGACCTCGCGTTTTCCCCCTTCGGGTGCGTTCTTTACACGCCGATGGGAAATTGCGACTTTCTGTCGATGATCTATACCGCTCCGAGCAGGATCCGCTTTTCTCTTTGAGCGAACGACTTCCAGGAAGCTCACGATCGATCTTTATTGCGTATGGCTGGCGGAGCTCGGCTGTGCACCGTAATACTCTTTCGCGCGTCATGCTGAAGCAAGGTGTGTTTACATCGCGAACCTTTTACGCTAATTTTTTTTCAATTAATCATTAATCATCATTAATATTCGCTTTGACATATTGAGTGCAAGTTTTTTTCTTTCACGACATGGATAAATAATGCTCATTTTGTAATGTATGTCATTCGAATAATTAACAAAGTTTGTTATGTATCAAATTTGATCACGTGCGGCCTCGAGGAATTGCTTATTTTATATGCAAATTTCTGATTTACATGAAAACGTGAGTAATAACCAGTTTTTTTTTCGAAATATTAAAGAACAGATATAAAGGTTATTTACTTTATTTTATATTAGCTCGTTTCTTACGTTAACGATTAATCGCAGTAAATCGTATAACAAAAAATTATTCTTATTATAAATGAGTGACAGAATAAATTTTTTATATATCTCTACATATAGCATTTAAGCTTTGAAGAGAAAAAAAAAAAGAAGATAAATGTGCCTCATTTTGCGCGGCTTTTTTACAATACATCCGACGTTAATCAAGATTTCCTTGTTAGAAAACTAATAATCAAGGTTTTAACGAGTTAATCAGCTCACGGCATCCGTAAGGCTCGATTAGTTGTCGGGCGTCCTCGGATCATTCCTTGAAGTGGATAAACCGCGCTCGCACGCTATATCGCGCGGGGGTATACATTGTAAATTACCGTTCTTGCCGGCAGCCGTACTTAGGCGCACCTGGGCACGGCGGAAGGTGCAAATGGTCTCGAATTGCTCGGCAAGAAGGAGGTAATAATAGCGCCTACCATTTGATACCTCCGCCGCTTACGCTGGTGGCTGAATTATAGGCGCGCGTCGATTGCCCGATAGATAATTTCAACGTGTAATCCTCTCTCATCTCTTACCTGCTTCACGCGCCGCGCACATTGTTCGTTCGCGTGGATTTCGCGCGCCACGCCGTGCCTTCGTCGGACAACGGTCATCTCTGAAATAACAAAAGAATTGAATCAGTCGACAAATCTCTCGCATCTTTTACAAAAGTAAGCCGAAGACGATCGCGTATTTCCGAAATCGATTGATCTTTATTAGACGAGCTGTGATCGAGCGTGATTAATTTAATACTTAGATGCATTGCGCATCAATTTTAGCATTGATCCATCCAATTTATTGTTCTCAACGTTCGATGAACAAATCGAAAAATTGCAAATTGTATAATTATTATCATCTTTTTACTATATCATTTGTCGCTAATCCGTCTAATTAAATTTACCGTTATCGTAACATGTTGTGTAACATAATAGGTTGACCGGAATCTCATTGATCGTGCGAGGGAAGGTGTTACGAAACACGCGGAGAATTTCGCATCGGAACAATTAGCGTAGGGTTGGATAGTACGTTAGGATGCCTGTAGGGTGTTACGTTAGAAGGCCACCAATTACGAACACGATTGCTAGTTAACTCGTTAGAAGGCACATTATTCTGTCTGAACTAGGCTTAACCGTTTAACTGATTGTGAATCGTTTTCTCATTAATTTACTCTCGTCAAAATATGTATCACTCAATCGAATATATAGTTCTCTGATAGAAATAATGATGATACGACATATCGAAGATGGAGATTTATAGACAAATGCGAATTAATATAGCGGTATTTAAAAAATTATTTTAAAATTGAAGAAATGAGGTGAACAATAGAAAATTAAAACAGTGGTGGCATACATTTTATATTGCGTCGAGAATAATTTAGTGAGTAATTATGACTATTTAATTCTTGAATTAATTCATCAGAGAGATGCAAATGGGACATTCGAATGATTTAAACTACTAATATGGACTATTAATTAAAGTATAGTATTTAATAGCAGATTTGTGTTTTTCTTATAGAGAAAAAATATTTTATATTCGTGTAAGATCTTTTCATATCAGTTAGTTTCTTTTGATACATTGTGGAAATTCGATCGCATGTTTCATGAGCACTTTTATAGTGCTCTTCAATTCTGTAAACGCGTCACTTCAACAGGCGTTGTTGGACGTGTTGTGTGCGCACGATGATCGGCGAGTTCTTCGTGTCGGAAAATGATGCAACTTGTTGACGCCGGCCTGTCTTTATATAAGTCCCGTGTGATGGCGTATTTAATCTTTTGCTTCAAATGCGAGCTATGTCTGTACTTTCGTACAAATATGGTCAGGAAAAATCGAGCTGTACCGGCTCTTGAATAACTTCGCAACGTAACAAAAGATTGTAAGATTTTAAGATCTATATTATTCACATTCTATATTTGGAATGTTTTTCTGCTTTTTATTTAGAAATGTCGTTGTGCGAAACAAACAAAATACAGAATCACACATATGGCTAAATGTGTATTACGACACGGATTCGCATTTTTCTATTTTCAGAAAAGTTCTCTGTTATTTTCATTGATATGGTAGAATAGCTAAAAAAATACAGACGACGCTTTTCCCGCGAAGCTGACGTTTTTATCTTGGCATTTTATGCGAGAACCGCTCCTCGGAAAGACTGTTTAAGGTTTCTTCGTCTGAATCACGAAGGATCCGCGCCTTACCGACCCGGATGAGATCACGCCGCGATTCTTATTGCCTTCTTTTGCGCGGACCATTTCGCGAGCGGCGGCCGTCGTCCCCCAAGGACACGTCGCGGCAACCATTAGGTGTTGTTTCCTCAATAAGGGGGGAAAATGCGCACGAGGGAAGCGTAATTTACCAGCGTGGCATCTCCGGAGCGCAATGCTCACACGCAGCCGACGGCATTATTTTTTGTAACATTATTACTCGCGGGTTAGCGCTTTAAACATAAATTTATGTACTTATTATGCCGCGTTATATCTATCGTGTTTTATTGACTTCATTTTGCCGTGAAAATTTAGAGTACATTATAAAATATTATTACATATTCAATTATCACGCGCGGAATGTCCTAATTATCTTTATTTTCAATGAAATTGCATTTTTTTATCTTAGATAATTTATTCAGTGTGCAACATCCAATTATATGTTTTATCTTAAATATATATACGATTTTATCAAGTATCCCGTTCTATCGATAGAGTCTGATTACGACGCCTGCTTATCGAAAAAGCTGAACGTCCAATAGCTCAAGTGCAATCACGACCAATGGCCAAAGATTTTTGCAATTTACCGAAGAACAAGACGACTTGACTCGGCAAGTCTCTTCTCTTGTCCTTCCACTGGAAATTGTTTTTTCGCTAAAGAGAAAATGTATTTATCGAGGGGAGGCGTATCACGCGCTGGCTGCGTAATCACATTGTGTCGCGCGCATCAGGCCCGATAATCGTTTTATGACGAATGTGAATGAAACACTTTGTCCGAAGGGTTCACCTCATGCGCGGAACGGAAGCGTGACTCATGAGTGACTCGCGCTTATCGGCTCCTCGGCACGATAAAAAGTCCCTGGCGCTGCTGCCGTGTTTGTATAAACCGTGGGGTAACACAGGGTGGCAAAGTGCCACGGCATAAAGAGGAAGTGCTTCCGCGGCGACGCAAGCGTATTTTTATCTCTCGTCCTTCGTAAAGGCATGCCACAGTGCCTAATGTATTAATGTCGGAAAGTAAAACCCCGAGCGAGTAGGTCCAAGTATCAAGTTGACATTTCATTTGTGACTGTTCGAGAAGACATGATTTATTATTCAAGGCGTTGAAGTTGATTTGCGACGCGTTGCTCAAACGCGTACAGAAATATCAGCGAAATTTCAAATGCGAGTGAATTTAACGCTTCGAAGTATTATTTGCTTATAATATTAATTGCGAAATTATCATAATTATTTTATAAAATATTATCAATGCGTTCTTGATTCTAAACTTATTATATTATATTTAGATTAAATCTTATAATGATTATATAACTATTTTTCCTATTTGCAATGTTTATTGATTACAATACAATGAACTTTTAATCTAGAATATTTAATAAGAAAAAAGTCGAAAATAGGTAATAAATTAAACGATTATTTCTACCAGCTAATTTTTAATGTTTTTTAAAAATTATGAATGGTATGATTTATCAAGTGTAGAATATAATTTAATAATGATATTAGCTGACGTTAAAACCATTTGCATATTACACATGAAAAAAAAGAGTGTGTTCGCGATTCCGGACGGTGGGATTAATGCATACGCGTATGAATATTTGCACACGACGGTTTGCCTTTTGCAAGAGAGCCTTTGCAGCACGCAAGGACCATTGTCCTTATCGTCGTTAATAATTCATTTGATTTTATTTGGTCGGCCGACGCGTTCCAATGTACTTTATTTGGGATTAGATTCACGTGGCGATGCATTCAAACGGATTTCTCGCGAGACCATTGCTCTCCGTCACTCCGCGCTGGCGCGCCAAAAGAGAAAATCTCTCTCTCTCGTTACGGTGTCTTGCCTTCCTTATACTTTATTGCATAAATAAAGCACGGGCTATTGAGAGCGAGCGATCTTTTACCGTGTCAAGGGAGGTAGGAGGAGAAGGAGGGGGAGGTTCGCGCACAAACGGGAAAATAGGGGGCAAAGAAAGCGACGGCGTTGAACGCAGTTTTGCGGATTAGCAATGCTAACGTAATCAAAGAGAAGCGGGATGTTTTTCTGTTAAGCGATTAAGCTATGTCTTGGGAGGTTGAAAAAACATCGCGGCTTCATACACGGAAAACCGTTTCGCGTCGGCGGCAATTAACCGTCGACGAAAGTCTCTTAAGAAAAGAGATTTTCCGAAGTAATCTCATAATGGTGTAATATAATACACTTTGCTGCACCTCGCTATACTTTCTACTTCAGTTTACTTAACTTCACTCGTTTAACATCTTTAGAGTTGTAACGGATGCTGTTTTCGTCCATTGCAAAATGAGAGATAATGGTTTTATCGATTATAATTTTGCAGTAAAACTTTAATTATGGAAAATTTTATAGATTTATATTAGCATCCATTCAATTTTGAACGTGTGTTATTTTTGAGCATCGATTCATTCGCGCGTGTTTATTATTTGAGTAAAAAAAATGAGGGATAAAGCGCATTCTTTGATAGCTGCGAAAGAATAATCAAATTTCTAATATTCAGACACATAATATTTATTAACACACAGTTTATTTAAATCATACTATTAATAAATACATGTTATATTTCGTGGCGAAATTGTGTGTAAGGCAGGAGGTAGGGTGCACTTAAGAGCTGAGTGCCTCGAAACACACTTATGTAGTTACGAGCGAAAATTCCGTTTCTACAATTTTACCATGGAACGACGTAAGCCATGGTTTTCTTTAAGCCGCTTTTATTTTCACGTTGTTAATTTAATATACAAATAACTACACAGGCTTTGCATCGCGTGCCGATGCAGCAATATTCAAACGTCCCACGTGGTATGAACGTAAGATCGATTGATCCGTCAAATGTGATCGAAACAGAAAGCAAAGTAATACTATTACCTTTATACATCGTCAACCTACCTCAATTTCGTCTAAGGAACAAAGAAGGTAGGAGTGAGCAGGAAAGAGGTTTTCTGGAGAAAAATAGATAGACAATATCGCAGAAAGGTGGAGGCGGAATATAAAAGGTCGTGCTTTTATCGCACGTGCTGAGCTAACCGTTTCATGCGCTTCTCGCGTTACTTTCTCTTTTTACTCTTATTTGTACGAAATTGAACCAAAAAAGTCGCGCAATAAAGAGTGTCAGTCGAATTTGCAGTTTACTGCGCTGAAATATGTCCGAAGCGAAGCGTATTGCGCGAGATTATCTTTAGCTTAGCACTGCTCTGCTTTTTGCGCTATTTTTATTAACCTGCGAATGGTTGCGTTATGAGCGCCACGCTGAGATAAAAAATAAGTCCCTTACGCAACCAATATATAAATTATCTTACTATAAAAAACAAGTTATTTACTTTTATTTTTGACCCACTGGAATATATTAGCATATTTAAATATGTAATTAATGTGAAAAAATATACAAAAATTTAATATGCAAAAATAATTGAAAATTTCGAGACTTTGTTCTCGATAAAAATGTGCTGTTTAACTGTGTTAACAATTAGATCTCATGTATTATTCGTCAAACTGTTGGCGACTTTTTACTTCGAGAAAATATGTGAACGCGCTATGTCCTTTCTTTAATTACTCGAAAAGTACAATTAAAACTTGCGTTCAAATAGCTGAAACGTCCTCATTTCGGAATTTCCGACTGTACCCTTAAATCAGTGCTTTTAGTTTAATTGTAATAATGACTGACGTAATATACCGTGGGCGCGATGAACTTTGGTACCAGTTCGGGCGAGATACATAACTACGAGTCCGGCAAAGACGCTTAACTTTTAACGAATACAAGAAGATTCCGAGTATCGAGGTCGACGATACTTTGCGAAATTTGCATCTCGAGATCCAGAAGTCGCGGAAGGAGGAAGTACAAGAAAAATGCATTGTTGAGGCGGGACTTCAGCACATATCTGTTTTCACTATAGCGCGATATCTATAATATATTGAGACGTACAATGGCTTGGCGCGTTACTGATTTACTAAATTACTTCCGGAATGTTTAGGTGTGCATCCGTGCGCATTTTTCACCCGCTTGCCGCAATCTGACAATGTTTGCATTATTACTACTTCACGTTTTCACGATTATGGGGATTTTCGCGGAATCTTTGTATACATTTAGTTTTTTCGCATGACACAGTGATCTGGCATTGTGATAAGGATCTTAACTTGCCTTTTAATTAATTTAATT